GCTGAATTTAAGCTGTTGTCTCTCTATCTGCAACAGCTCCAATTTAAAAATTCCAAGTTCAGGCCCTAGGATAGTGGCACACACCTATAATTCCAGTGCTCTGGGAGGCTGAGACAGGAGGACCAAAAGTTCAAGCCCAACTTGGGAGGCTTAGCAAGACTTTGTGTCAAAATAAAAAATAAAGGGCTGGGGATATAGCTCAGTGCAAATGCCCTGGGTTCAATCCTCAGTACAGGCAAAAAAAAAACACTAAATTTGGGTGAGGCACTAAACTTGTTGCTCTGAAAGTCCTACTTTTTGTTTTGTTTTGTTTTGTTGAATAGAATCAGAGGTGCTCTGCTCCTGAGCTATATCCCAAGCATTTATTTTCTGAGGCAGGGTCTAATAACTTGCCCAAGTTGGCCCTGGGCTAGTGATCCTCCTGACTCAGCCTTCCAAGTAACTGGGACCATCAGATATGCACCACTGCCTGGCTGAGTCATAGAATTTAAGCATAGTATTGCACCTGTATATGGGAAATCCTTCTAGAGCAGAAGCCACAGAATTCCACTTGAGGGAAAGGAACTACACATGGCTTCACTGACCACACACATCTGCAATGGTGGTTAAGTGATGGAACCATGCATGTCAAGAAAACAACCAGATTTATGCATACCTAAAGACCAACGTGCACTATAACCAAGACTCCTTGTACAGAAGGAAAAATACAACTCTCCTGGTTAAAATAATTCCCTCCCTAGCCAACATAAGCCTGTAATTCAGGTACTTCGGAGGATCACAAGTTTGAGGCCGGCATACACAATTTAGCAGGATCTTGTTTCAAGATTAAATAAAAAGAAATGTGGATATAGCTCAGTACTCTTCCCTGGGCTCAATCCCCAGTACCGCTAAAGAACAAAAACAGGCTGGGGATTTAGCTCAGTGGTTTCGCTGCCTGCTCCGAAAACACAAGGACCTGAGTTCAATCCCCGGTACCAAAAAGAAAAGAACAAAAACCTTTTTTCCCAAAACAAAGCCAAATCCCAACTTCTTTTGAGGTTTACAGAATCCTCTGTTTTGCTCTTTGTGTGTAGATTTTTAAAAGTCCTAAATGCTAACCTTTCTCAGAAACCAGAAGAGAGGAACTCAAACAGGAAGTTCAGCTGCCATTGAGCCCTGCCCCAGCCAAACACAGGAGAATCAAAAGTGGCTTTTGAGGGGCTGGGGATTTAGCTCAGTGGTTCTGGTACCTGGCTTGCAAGCGCAAGGTCCTGAGTTTGATCCCCGGTACCAAAAAAAAAAAAAAGAAAAGTGGCTTTTGACCCGGGAGTGGTGGCACGTGCCTGTAATCCCAGCACTCGGGAGGCTAAGCAGGAGAATCACTGTGAGCTCAAGGCCAGCCTGGGCTAAATAATTTGGGGCCAGCCTGAACTACAAAGGGAGACCCTGCCTCAAAAAAAAAAAAAAGTGGCTTTTGAAAACTACTATTTCACATCAAGACTCAGAAACTCTCACCTTCTAGAATGAACTGGGAAAAACTGCCAAAAAAGCAAAACAAAATGAAACCAACAAGCCAACCCAGCAGATGGGACTAATACATTTACCCAGCAGTAGTTAACTCGCCACCATCTCCTGCCCTTACTCCCCAGCCCCTTTACCTTCCAGAGCTTTTCTTCCACACTTAATTAAGCAGTTACATCCAAAAGTTGTACACTTTGGACTTGGGTACTTCCTTTCTGCCTTCCTTGCAGATGATCCTGGCTTGGGGGACAGTTACTTGAGTCAAACCATGGCGATTTGGGTGGCTCCTCTGGTGACTCCCTGAGCTATTCTGGTGGCTCTGGGGAACTGACTTACCAAGCACAGTGAGAACACGGAGTTTGGTTCACTGACATGTCGGTTCCTCTGGTGCAACAGGCCTCTACACAAAAACACAGGCAAGTGGTTCATTCTGTGCAACTTAGTAGAATCCCCTATATGGGATAATAAACCCAGAAAAAGATGAAAAAGCACTGACATCAAACGAAACCCATCTGCACCGAAAAACGCCTGCTCACCAATGAAATGCCTGTGAGAGGCAACCAAGCTGCTTTTCCAATAAGCAGTTGAACTGAAAAACTTCACAGGACTTAAAAGGAAAAGATGGAGAAAGTGGGCCGTTCCCAGCTCGACCACTCAGTCCCCAGGGCGAGTTGCTGAATATCACGAGTCTTCCATCTATAAATGGAGATACTAACTACCTCCTGGGGGAGTAAATGAGTTAATACAGGTGAAACTTTTAGAATTCTGCCTGGCACATTAGTACTTTGCTGGCACTGACCATCAGGTTTTCTCCTCTTTGAATAAAACAAAACACCTAATAAAGATCATCTGACGGTACCTGAAATGCAGCGTGTATATAATTGAGTTGTGTTAAAACTCAAAGGTCAGTTTCTTCCACATGCTCAAAACAGTGACTTTCGTGACTCCCAAACGGTGTGAGGATTTCTCCCCATCAGCAAGCAATCAGTTCTGCAGTGGGCACCAGCTGAGCATCTTCTATGCAAGTCAGCTGTGACACTGCCTACCTGGAGCTGGTGTCAGATCACGCAGATGGAGAGCCATCTCCAGGACTGCTTACTCCCTTCAGATGTCAAACCCTGGACACTTCACCTTCTGACCCATGGACTATGAGTCAGGGTTCCCACAATCCTCTTCATGTGTTCCACTAAGTTACCAGAATGGCTCAGAAGAACACGTTTACTTTTTTATTGTAAGTTACAGATGAGGGAAAGAGCACAGAGCTTGCATGCACTCCCTGGGAACAACACCCTCCTGGAACCTCTTCTCTTCAGACAGCTGGAAGCTCTCCAGACCCTGCCTTTGGGGGTTTTCAGGGAGACTTGATTGCATAAACATGGACAACCACGTAGAAATGTGACTGAATGAAAAGGATATGATCACATGCTAAGACTGCAGGGCTAAATTAGCCAGTAAGGCCTGTCCAGATTCTTCCCGGCCTTGCTGTGAAGTGTTCCCTTCTTCCAGGGCAGGAGCCCTCCTTTCCTTCCCTGCTGTGCTGGGGATGGAACCCAGGGCCAAACATGCTAGACAAGAGTTCTACCGCTGAGCTGTACCCCCACGCACAGTAATTTCTTTATGGTCAGCTCCAAGACAGGAATGATATAAACAGCAATGGAGATAAGAATTTCTAGGGCCGGGGACTTAGCTCAGAGGTTCTGCCGCCTGCCTTGCAAGCGCAAGAACCCGAGTTCGATCTCTGGTACAAAAAAAAAAAAAAATTCTAGTTTCTATGGGTTGCCTTAGGGAAGGAGTTATGAGCCAGGAACCATGGACAAAAACCCAGAATATATATATAATATACAATAATTCTATATTTTTGCAACTTAAGAATATTTACTTATCTATTGATAAAGTCTGAAAAGAATCCGAGAGCAAGAACCTAATTCTCTTTAAGGAATAAAAATTCCAAAACATATCCCTGCACCCTGGGTTATAAACCAGGCTGATTTCCCAAACTGGACTCCTCTAGCTATTTTGGCAAAAAAGGAAAACTATCTAGAGCCATTGTTTTCTATCATAGTGTCTATACTTACTATGAAGCAGCAACAGTACTTAAAACGTTTTTCCTCACTGTCTGGAACCCTCTAGGGGGCAGTGTAGTAGTGAAAACCCTTCCCCACAGCTGGCGTGGAGGCAGAATGCTAGAAAACCAAGGTGCACTCAGGGTGTAGAACAGCGGCCTCTGGTTCTCACTCTGCATCTCATAAAGTTGGTCTCACTGACCAAAAGAGAAATACTTACTTTGTGTTCAAAGTGGTCTGTTCCAAGAGCTGAAGACCTCTGCATAATGAGGGCAGAGGGAGAGGGTTACTGAGGGCCAGGCAAGGTTCTTCTCTGCTAGTGGACACAGGATCTGCTTTACAGTAATTTTTACAGTGTTCATTTGCCTTGTGCACTTTTGAATGTATGCACAGTTCACAAATGAAATAGGAATGTACTTGTGCTGTATAGGCAGACACACACTTAGGGTTAATTTTCCCCCAGAGAATAAGGAAAAAGAAAGATGACATTTGGGAGACCAATGTGCCCCATTCCAAACCTTCTATGAGTTACTGCATTCCAGCAAGTGTCCCTGTGCATCTGCAAAGTAGGTAGTTTCCACTCCTTTTAACCTTTTTAAAAATCTAATATATTATCATAAATGAAAACACACCAACATCAACTAACAACTTCAACTTTTAATAATGGAAATCATTTTGCCATTCAAGAAACAGTTTTAGGGGAGAAAAATCTTCCCTATAAAAATAAAACATCAAAATTATAAATATTATAACTTTTTAACCTCTGCAATTTAAAATGCTCCCCTGTAATACTACCCCTTCATTTAACACCTTTCCTGTACCATCACATTTTGAAGAGAAAACAGTATTACAGCAAAGCTTAATTTTAATTTAACACAAGGA